CTTAGCAGTTCCCTCCTGGGCATATAGACCGGTGGTTGTTAACTGGTGGTGCCCCCCACCCCCTGCTACCACCAGGGAACATTTGGCGACTCTGGAAATATTTTTGATTTGGACTCGGAAAGAGACAGATGTTACTGGCATCTAGTGGATAGTGGCCAGGGATGCTGCTAAACATTCTACAGGCAGTCCACTTTGTCCCCCCACCCCTTCTCAACAAAAGATTATTCAGACACAAATGCCAGTAGCATACCGTTAAGGAATCCTGATGTAAACTCTCGAGAGACTCTCAAATGCAGTCTCAAAGAGACAGATAAAAGGAGGTTTACTGCATTATTTGTTTCTAACATTACAGTATTGAAAATAATCTAAATATCCCTCAAAAGGAGAATAGAGAAATAAATTTAAGTATTTCCATAACATGGTTAATGAATGAACTGGAATTTACAAGAATTAATATGGATAAATCTTGGACACAATGTTCACTGAAAGAAGCAGAGTAATACAGAAAGTACCACTGTGTGAAGTTTAAAGACAGACAATTCTCTGCTTCACCTGTGGATGTCATACAGGTTAGTTAGTGTTGTCTTCACCAAATTCCACAGCAAGTACCTGGAGACCTTTGCATTCATTCTTTCATGAATGTAAAGGTGCATACTAAATGCACCAGCAATTAATATTATCTGTCTCAGGGTTTTGCATAAAGAAAAAATTTGTTGAATGATTGAGCTGTGCTCCTAGAAAGACAAGACAATGATTTACATTCTTTTCTTACCTTCCCTCTGTGATCTGCCTTTCTGCCTGTCTTTCCATGGCTCAATTTAGAGAGGGTCCTGGAACTTGGATGATAAAATACTGAATCTTCATTTTTCATGCTGCTAACTGAAGTTTAGCATTCCAGTTATGAAGGTACCAAGTTATAGCAATATTAGCAAGCTGAAGCTTTATTACCAACTGAAATTAGGTGTATTTGCATATCACGTTACAGTTACTGAAGATACTTAGAAATGCTGTTTGTGCTCATCAGCGCTGTGAAATGACTGTAGTTAGACCTGTTGCTGGATCTTGTTATTTATTACATGAATAATCAAGCATCTGTGTGTGATCTAAAATATTTATATATTTTATATTTTGATAACTATTTTGATGTAATTGGCTTTCTTTGGAATCTGATGGATTTTATTTTATACCTTTAAAAACATTTTGAGAAGAGGTCCATAGGCTTTGGCAGACTGCCACAAAGGTCAAGACTCCCTGGTTACACCTACCTTCTGATGCTTTGATTATTTGTTACATGTCCAATGTACTGATCTGGGCCAGATAGGAGAAAGTGGGAATAGATTGCTGCCTTTAAAGATTTCTGGAAAGGGTCTGATGGTGTGAAATGAGATGCTACCTACTAGTCTCTGGAAGACAGAAATGTGAGATTGAGCTGGGGCTTTGGAATGTTAGTAAAGTGTCTGTTACTTGTGTCTGAAATAGAATAAAGGCAGTAGATGGTTTTACCCCCTGCCTACAGCTCTAGGCTCATTGTTCCTTGTCATTGTGCCCCCAGTCATTTTTGTTGTCTTTCGGTGTCTAGGGGACTCCCTGCATTAGGAAGTCTGTGTTTTCTGTTAGCTGTGCTGGACTCTCCTCTCATCTCTTCATCTCCCTTCGTGTCTGAGTATCTGCCCCCATCCTCCAGTCTAGGCCAGGCCTCTAGATACTCCTCATGTAAACCCGTCCTCATCTTTACAGCCCTTTCTCATTTGTAACTATGTGGTCTTCAGATGCTTCTTTAGTTCAGTGCTTGTCACCGCACTGGATTGTAAATCCTCAGTGGCAGGGAAGGCTTGCTTTTGTTGTCTACAGTATCTCTGGTGCCTGACCAAGGGCTCGTGGTAAGTATTTATTGATGAAGAGTGAATTTTAATTGGAAAAATCATTAAAGGACTGTGAATACTAGCAGAGTGAACTTAGGTCCACAAAAATAAATTCAGATGGCCTCCCCCAACTTACGACACCCCCACTGCCCTCAAGTCTCCTCCATACTCCAGTAGTTCTGCATACACCAGTAACTGTGAGGTGTTCGCGCTAGTGCAGTGGAGACAGGATAGGAAGACTGGCAGCTAGGGATGGCCTGGGCTCAGATCCCGGCCTTGATGCTTCCTTCCTGGGTGACTTCAGCCTCTTTGTGCCTGCCTTTCCACCTATAAAATATTGAAAATAGTAGTACCTCTGACATAGAATGCTAACACCTAACCCATAATAAGTGGTAGCTTAAAGGAAAAGAGTTGACTGAGCCTGATGGATAATCCAGTCCTGCTACCAACTTGAGAAGCACTGGATTTAGAAATCAGGGAAGTCTTGCATCATGGCTGAGCCTGGCTCTGGATTCTTCCCCCGCTGTCTTGGTTGGGATATTCATGAGAACTGCTAAAAACCAAAACTGAGAGGCAAGGGATTCCTCCTTGCAGCTTGGCTGGACCCCCTTCTGTGTGTCTGTGTCTCCACCTCCTTCATGTAACTTCTCCCAGAACTGGAGCACCAAGGCAGATGTGCCGACCTTGCTGCTCTTGAAGAGAGGTGTATGGCTAAAGTTGTGACGCATCTTTTTGCATTCTCAAATTCCTGCTTAACTCTTGCTCCAGAGGATTATAATCAAATTAGCTCACTCTGGCTTCAGATGAAGTTGTATCGTTTGTAACACGCTTGGCACAGAATTTCACAGAATTCATTAGTGAATATATTCAGTAGATAGTATATTCAGCTCAATAAGTATCAGTTGTGATTATTTCTCTATTAGAAAATGATGATTTGTCCTAAAAGCACAAGCCTAGCCCACACTCTTGACTTATATAACAGTTGCTACGCACCATGTTTTTAAAGGCTTTCAAGTAATGTGCATTGAGAGGTTGAACGAAAGATGGGTTGTGCCGTGCTGTGCTAAGTTCTTTGTGAATCATGTCCGATTCTTTGTGACCCTTTGGACTGTAGCCCGCCAGGCTCCTCTGTCCATGGGATTCTCCAGGCATGAATACTGGAGTGGGTTGCCATGATCTTCCTGACTCTTGAATGGAACCACGCTACTGACTGCTTAGTTTCCTCTTTCAGGCACAACTGGGCTTTGCAGTCCTTGACTGCCCTCAGTTCTACATAGTTGCCACTAGAGGGCAGGGGCATTTAAGATAATACCCTAGACCCACCAGTGCCAGAATTACTGGGTAGACAAGGGAGAATGTTTGAAGGAGGAAAATGTTAGAATGACTGGGGGTGGAAAGCAAAACAGTTTTTCTTTATCTCTTGGAGACCAAACGGAAGAAAATGTGAAGCTAGTGGAATTGAAGTTAGATTTAAAGAAGAACTTGCAGAGCACAAAGTTTGCTGTAGAGATTTTATACAGGTGACCTACAAAAACAAAAACAAAAACAAAAAGCCTTAGCTACATCTGCCCAAGCAGAACAGATGAGAATGTGGGCTCCTCCAGTCTGAGGCCTATGTGATGCCGGTAGGTCCCCTTAAAGTAACCTTTCTCTGTGTTTGCCTTAAATGACTCCATTCTTGCACGTGCAATTGTAAAATAACTTTATTGGTTGGGTTAGCCACCACTCATGCTTTTCCTGTAATAAGGATCCTTTATAGAGGCATGATGGTGTCCACATGCAGATGCTTTCTGAAGAACCCTGGGGCAAGGGGCAGCCTTGCCCCTCACATCAGAGCTTCTTTGTTGAAATGAGCTGGTTTGGCTTTTGTGGATTTGAGGTTCTGGAGCCAAGAACATAGTTCAAGGATCCCCTCTTCTTTCTTCAGGGAACTGCTTCAAAGCATACACGGTATCAGGGAAGCAACGGCATCTGTGCAGGGAGCTCTCCTCAAGCGGTCTCTGCCCATGGCTGCCCTGATGGCCCCATCCCAGTGGTACCCCACAAAGCAGGGTTTAGGTCCCCAGGCAGCACTACTTTCAGAAATGGGAAAGATTAATTGCTCTCCAGCCAAGCTGTAAAGCGCCAGCCAGCTTCAGTAATGAGGGTGGCAAGTCCAGGGCTGGTTGGAGTCTATCTCTTCAATCAGGTTATCGACCTTTCTGCTTGCATAAGAGGACAAATTACCTCTCTCATACTTTGAGAACCTCTGCCTTTGAAGATAAAAACTCAAGTAGGGAGCGGCTGGGAATGCAGAGAGTGCTGGGCAAGAACGACACTACTGGAGTTGCGTCCTCAGTTCAGCCAGTTCAAGGTGTATTTGCCTCCATTATGGATGCTGATAATAAGCAGCATCAGGTCACTTTCCTTTTTTGAAGTCTGACCCACCTTCAAAGAACTGCCCAGTTGCTAAAATATAGCCCCACACATTTAGCTAAGTCTGAGGTTGGCGGTCTCCTCCCATATCAAGTCAGGAATATTGTCATCACACTGGTGACCTCTGGTGATTCTTGGTGTCCTTCCAATCTCAGCCACCAATGTGCATTCTCTGAGCAGTCACTGGGCAGTTGTGCATACGCCTTGGCTTCTCCTGCCTCTACCTAAGATGTCTGTGGGTCATGGTTGAGTGGATGAGGTGGACTGAGGAGGCAGCAGTTGGGCAAGAGGTATATCTGAGAAGCAGCAAGTGGGAGCCCAGAGTATAGGCACGACCAGCCCAGCACACGGGGGAGCAGTCAGGTGCTGCCCTCAGAGTCAGATATTACTTCAAAAGCACAGGTATTCTATTGCTCGGGTAATGGTTCAGGACACCGGATCACTGTGAAGACCTTGAGGGTAATGAGATTTCTGGGACTGGGACTTCAGGGTTCACACCTTCTGCCAACCACTTCTGTCTTGGAAACGGGCATTTCGTGTCCCTCAGCAGAAGGCTGCCTGTCCCCTGACTCCGCCTAAAACTGCCTACAGGGAAGAAGACTAGAGAGAGAGCCCATGGACCTCTGTCACACGGTCTGTCCCAGACCTTCCAGCAAAAGCCAAACCAAACCATCAAGCCAAATGCAAAGAGGCGTGGGGGCACAGCCCTGTGCCCGGTGGCGCTCAGATCTCGATGAGGCTGGCCAGGCGCAGGCAGAGGGGCGCGTCAGCAGGCATGGCGCTGCGCTTGATCTCGTTGCCGTCCAGGCGCAGCACCTGCAGCTTGGAGAAGTTCATGACATCCACCACGGTGCAGAAGCTGCTGATGGAGAACTCTGTGGGGACAAGAGGGGCAGGGATGGGGAGAAGCCCAGATCAGGGGCCTGGGACCTCAGGAAGGCCCCACGGAGTCTGTGAAGCTTCTAAAGGGAGGGGGGAGCTTGGCTGGGTGGGGCAGGCGCTTCCCAGGATCAGAGTCAAACTTGCACCCGTTGGAGAGCAGAGCCAGGGATAGAGTGAGGTCTCCGCCTGCATAGCTCCACCTCCTACCCACGCCCCCCACCCCCCAAAACCCTGGAAGGTCCTTCTTGGCAGGCCTTCCTTGGTCTTTTCCCCTCTGTGGGCAGCAGGTGGCAGCAGAAGGCAGTCAAAGACGAACCCTAGCAGCTTTGAAGTTCTCCCTTGACGGCGTTTGAAGAGGAGGGCATTTCCCAATTGTGTTGAGAAGGAAGACTGGGTAGGTGGAAGGACTTAAATCTTGACTATTTCCTAACAGTTTGCAGATAGAGAAAGTGGAAAGAAATTAAAGAGAGAAAACTTGGACTGAGAAACAAGTGCCTCTGAGTGCAGAGCTTTGAGGGGATTGTTCCATGTACATTCTGAGTTCAGACAAAGGAGTGATCTAGGCCCTGAGGTTTAAGGAGATAGATGAACAGAGCTGCCATGGAGCTCAAAAGTCAAATGATTTCCTTGCCTCCTGCATTTAATATGATTAGTTTACTCTCCATTTTTGTAATCTCAAAAGAAGTTTGAAGATTCTCCCCTACCCTCTAAGTCCTGTAATCCTAATAGATACAATCGTTCTGTTTGGTTTAAACACAAGTCCTTCAGCTACCACTCACCCGGTTCTCCCTCCGCTTGTTCTCTTAGACAAATCAACTACCTCTGTCTCTATCCTACTGGGTCAGAAATTTGAAGGATTAAAACAAGAGCTCGGCTAGAACTCCAGCCTGTGTGCATGCTAAGTTGCATCAGTCACGTCTGACTCTTTGCAACTCCATGGTCTGTAGCCCACCAGGCTCCTCTGTCCGTGGGATTCTCCAGGAGTGGGTTGCCATGCCCTCCTCCAGGGGATCTTCCCAACCCAGGGATTGAACCCACATCTTTTATGTCTCCTGCATTAGCAGGCAGATTCTTTACCACTAGCACCACCAGGGAAGCCCCAAAACTCCAGCAGGGACAGCAGAAGTTACCACCAAAAAGCTGCTGCCGCCCATAGAGGCTGCCTTCAACATGGTATGCGAGAGCATCAGAAAGATGGCTCGAGTCAAAAGGGACTTTGGGTGAGGTTATTTGTTGGGACTTGGTAGGCTACATCTGGAGGGCTGTAACGCTTAGGCAGACTCAGAGCTTGGCTTGCTTTTGCTTCCACCAGAGGCATTCCTCTGCTTGCCACAGTGGTCAGGAGCTATGTGTCAGCCTGGAGCTGGGCAGGGGGAATGGGACGAAGGCTTTCCTGATTCTCTTCCTGGGGTGACTGTCAAAGGCATTGTGGTTATAAGTATGAAAAGTAAGCTCTCTATAGAGAGCTTAGATAGATGAAGAAATTGTTTTTGAAATTAGCACTAGCGATTATTTTCAGTTTCTGTTAAGAACTGACCAAGAGGACATGGGGTAAGTCTGCAGCCAATTAACATGTGCTACAAATGTAAGACAGAAAAACCAAAGAATAATGAGAAGAAAGGGAAATATCCTTGTTTAGAGAGCACTTGGGGAGGGTCGGGTGGAGACCCGGAATGCTTTTGGATGTTCCCTTTCTGGACCCAGGGAATAGATCGAGTGATGTCCAAGTGGACAGGTTGGGGGTGAGTCGAGGCTGAGTCAAGTCTGGGTCTATGGTGTCTGCATGGAACAGGCAGAGTGGGTTGGGCTGGAGAGAAAAACGAAGTGGCCTGGATTGAATATCACTTCCAGCTGTACTGGGGGACTGAACTTAGAGGTTCCACAATGGATTCTCTACACCAGCCTGGGGCTTTCAGACTGTCTGCTGAAGTCCTAGCTCTCAACTTTGCAAGTATAAATATGGGACATATTTAGGAGTTGCTCAACACTCAGCATATATAGATTTTACCCACACGTTGAGCACTGTGAGCCCCCGTGTTAGTCCTCTCTAAGTTCATGAATAGGACAGGGGCTTCTGCTTGGAGATGCTGGAGGACACTTTCCATCCCAGATTAAATTTTGACATAAGTTTTTCCAGATTCCTTCTGGCGTACTGGCCCTGCTCCACTGGATCCCAGAGCTACTGAATAACATTCTGAGCTGTGTTTCCTGCTGTTGCCAGGCTGGAAAAACTGAGGGAGATGCTAGTGGAAGAAAGAAGCAGGGAGGGAGAGAGCCAGGCTTAATTCTCCTGCACTCAGCTCCTGTCCTTTTAGCTCTCTTCTCAAAGGGTTCCTTCAATCCTATCTTCATTACCCACCCCTTCTCTGGGTCCCCTGCAGGGAGACCTCCTTCACATTTGCCTAGGTGAGTGGCTGAGCTTGGGGAACTCGCTTTCCTGCTGGTGGTCTGAATCAGAGATGTACTCCTTCCTTTCTCAGCCAGAGAAGCCTGGCTCTCAGTCCTTTGATGTTAAAGGCAGAGGCTATACTACATGATCTGGGTGACCTGAAGAGATTGCTTTTCCTTCTCTGTGTCTCAGTTTCCCTATCTATGCAATGCAAAAGATAAAATAAAACTGTATCTGGCAACGTCAAAGTGGCAAAGAGGGGGAAAGTTTATAATATAGTTACTGTGTGTTGAAAAGCAAGTGCTTTTTCAGTTGTGTGCCAGGTCCTGAACCAAAGCCTTCGGTGTACTAATGCACTAATTAAGAAAAATAAGGTGTTGGTGTTATTTACCCCCAAAACGAGGACTAAGAGGGAGACAACCAGATAGAGGAGCTTTGGCTTAAACTGCACAAGAAGGGATTTGGGGTAGATACTGAACATTTTTAGGTTTGACTTAGGAAAAACTTTCTTGCAAGACCTCAGAACTCTTGACTAATGTGATTTTATCTTTGGCAGAGCTTTTGGAAGAAGTGAAGTACCTTATATTTAAACAACATATGTGGTTCTGCAAGAAGGCAGAGTGACAAGATGCTGTGATGGAGTCTTTCCCACCCCAAGTTTCACTGGTTGTATAGTTAGGCAGTAACTATTGGCTTCTCTCCCGTGACAGATGCTCTTTGCTGTCACATTTTCGAGGTCAAACTCTGATAAAGCACAGTATACTATATGACATTTCTGTTGCGACACTCCTCTTGGATTCAGAGTGGGTAGCAGGTAAGTAGTGGTGACTTCTGGGTGAGATGATAGACAGCTACAAGTAAATGTCAAAGCTTTTGCATCATGCAACATATGAGAGATTAGAGAACCCTGCGTTGGGAATAGGAAGACCTTCCCCAAAGAAAGAGAGACTTTAAATACAGAACAGTTTGCTGTGTGTATGATGGTGTCTTGCACTTCAAAGTAGAGAACCAGACACCTTTTCAGCTTGCCCACCCCATGGTCCACCTCTGGGACTGGTGCGTCTCTCACTCGGGGGGCTGTCTGGCTTGTTAACATCTTGCCAAATGAGTGATCTGTTCTGTGAGCACAGGGAGAGAGAGATCCATGGAGAGGCTGTGGCCTCAGTCCTATCTCTGCTTTGGTGCTGCGACGGTGCTGTTTGCTCTCAGCAGGCTCTACTTCAAAGCCCTCTGCCAATGGCCATTAATGAGTCCTTCCTCCCCCAGGGAGAAAGCTACTTTGCTGCAGAGGAGGAGAAGTTAATGCTGGCTCAGCACCTTCCAACTGGGCTGAGACATCAGAGGCTCTGGCGCAGTGTAAGCACATTGTGAACACAAGACCCAGAGAGGGACTGAAAGGCACCTGGAGACTTTGGTTCTCGCAGACAGCCCGGCCGGCCCTTGGGCCTTCTGGGGAGTGTTTGGGAAATAGGAGGCCTTGTGCTTGCTTGCCACTGCAGGGTTTGGTAGGGGTCAAGCTCGTGTCACCCAGGGAGCCCTCTGCCCTGCCGCCAGGGCCTCCTCATGCTCCTGGAGAGCCAGCCAGAGCACGTGCTGCACGTAGCTTGGCGGGGCTGCAAACTCCCGTCCACCGGCTGCGTGTTTAAAACATAAGCATCCAAGCATAAGACCGGGCTGATGGGGGGTGGGGACAGAGAGCTTGTCCTCCTTGGAGTCAGTGAGAAAGTACAGATACAGTGGTTTCTTAGCAGCCCACTTTCCTCCTCATCTTAAATGCCCTTGTCTCTGAACCACCCCCTGCCAAACCTCTCCAAACTCATTTCTCATAGCTTGAGACATGAACCCTTCCTGTTAGACACAGGAATCTCCTAGCTGTCCCCTCAAAGTGACCTGGTAAATGACTGGTCCTTCTGTGGCGATGGCACCTCTAAGGATGGCTCAGTTCTGTGTTCCTCCAGCCCATACCCATTTATCTTTCGGGACCTAAATTTAGGCTTACCTCTTCTGAGAATTCTTCTTCCATACCAACCCACTGCCCAGTGACTTTTCCTAGCACTGCCATGTAGTCTAAGAGTATGCCACTCTGTACCATTTTGTACGGGGATGTGGCAGGGTTCTCAGCTTGCTTCATCAATATTCTTTGATCCTCCTACTGCTAATTCTTCTGTGTTGCCCCCAGCACTTGGGGTCAGATCTTTCCAATGCAACAGACAGCACTCCCCACTCCCCTTTGCCAGCGCCTCACCGTTGATCCTGTTGCCTTGGAGGTAGAGGTTCTCCAGGTTGGTGCTGACTGGGGGGATCTTCTGCAGCTTATTGTAGGACAGGTCGAGCTCAAGGAGGCTGCTGGAATTGAAGGTGTTGGAGGCCAGGCCGCTGTTGGTGAGGCTGTTGTGGGACAGCCGCACGTACAGCAGCTTGGGGGAGCCCCGGAAGTAGCTGTCGGGGACTGAGAAGACGTCATTGTGCTCTAGGTACAGCTGCTCAAGGGCTGCGGGCAGCCCGTCAGGCACCTTCCTCAGGTGGTTGTAGCTCAGGTCCAGCAAAATCAGCGATCGGAGTCCTCTCATCGAGCTGCCCACTTCCTGGATCTCGTTGTGATGGAGGTACAAGGCGGTGAGGTTCTCCAGCCCCTCCAGCGCGTTGTTGGGGACCCTTGAGATCTGGTTGTGGTCAAGATGGAGCTCTCGCAGGGATCGGGGCAGTGGGCTGGGTATCCGGGTCAGGTTGTTGTGGTCCAGATACAGCCTCTCCAGGTGCCTCAGCTTGGAGAAAACCTTCCTGCCCACCTTATCACTGGTGATCTGGTTGCCATGGAGAGCAATCCAGAGCAGCCCAGTGGCATTGTCGAAGACACCCTCCTGGATGGAAGAGATCTGGTTGTTCTGGAAGTAGACATACTTCATGCGGGAGGGGACAAAGGGCAGGTACTTGAGATTGCGGTTGTCGCAGTACATGGCTGTGGGGAAGTTGGGGGGACAGTCGCACTCCTGGGGGCAGTCTCGGGGCTCTGGTGGGGGCGGAGAGCCGTAGGCATAAGCTGGACCTTCCTCTCCCCCGTAGGGGTAAGGCTCATAAGGCTCATAGGGGTAAGGGTCGTAGGGATCGTCATAGGTGGATTGCTGGTTGCGGAGGAATTGAAACCACCAGTGAGAGTCTTCCTCATACTGGGCCCAGGAGAGGGAGCAGAGCCCTGCCAGCAGCAGGATGGAAGCCCACTGCATTCTGTGTTTCTGCAAGAAGGGAGAGAAAACAGGAATCAGGCGTGAAGGAGACTCCGGGGAGTCAGAGAGGCAGAAGAGGTGAGTCTTGGGCTGTGAGCTCTGCAGACCTGACCTTCAGCAGAAAGCAGCTCTGAGCAGAGTCCTTGCTGCCACCTCCTCTGGGCCTCTCCCAGCGCTGCCTCTACAAGCTGGTCCAGATGAGCCTTGGCTCCCTGGGGGAGCTAGGTGCATTTCCCTCTGCTCACAGACTCACGGAAACATAGCCTTTGAGATCAGAAGGGGCTTGAATGGAGGTATTGCAGTTTTTATTTTTTTTCAGAGAGCAGGCCCATAGGAGCCTCTAGCAACCTGAAGGTACTGTTAGGGAAGCTAGAAAGTCCACAGCAACTTCCATGGGAGTGGGAGTGGTGGTGGGTTCTATTTGTGCCTGACTTTACAGGCAGTGTGAACTCCCCAGGGAATAATGTTTGCCAAGAGTCCAAGGAAAAAACCCTCTGTCTCTTTCTATATCTCTGGGAAACACCCAGGAGTGGCTTGAGGTCTCAAAGGGGAAGATCTGAACTACTTGGGAAGTTCTGGTTTCGAGTCTTTGGGGAAGGGTGTGGTCCCCTGCAGCCATCACAAGGCTTGGGCTTGTGGTACCAGCATCTGTAACAGTGCCAGAACCTGTAACGGTCTACTAGTGAGGAAACTCTCTAGTTGGCAGTTTGTGACTACACTTGCAACTTGGCTGGCAAGGGCCATTATACAGCAGTTACAGATTCCCTTCAGAGGGGCTGTGGCCCCCAGTGTGGACCTTGTGTTCTAGAGGGGTACTGAGAGCATGAAGTCTTAGCACCCTGGGCTGTCTTCCACGGTGTCTAGTAAAGTGTTAATACTTCTCATGCTCCACCATGGACATTATGCCAAAGCCAGCAGGGGCCAAGGGGAACATCAAACAATGAAACAGGAATTGAAGACTCTTGAGTGTACCCAGGGGAACATGCCTTTAGAATGGGATTCTGGTGTCCTGCTCTCCCATCCGAAGCCCTCGGTGATGACCTCTGGGTTACCAGTCTCCATAGCTGGGCCCCACATTGCCTGGCAGCTCACAGCTTTTGACCTTGTGTGCTAGTGAGATGAGAGCAGGCGAGGCTTGGAGAGAAGTGTGAGTCTAATGTCCCCGAGAGGGAAGTTGAAGGCGTGGAAGAGGAGGGCGGCCTGTCCGGCTGGATGTCATACTCTGGATATCCACAGCCAGAGCACCGCACAGCCCCAGTGAGCAATTGGCACCTTCCAGAGGGGTGAATGTCACCCTTGGGTAGAGAAACTTTACAACCTTTCTTGATCTGGGCATAGTCACATATGCTGTTCACGTTGCCATTGGCCCTTGCTGGGGACAAGAGAAAACAAGGGCTCTAAAAGCCAACCTCGAAGCCATGAGCTGATGAGAAGGCCCCTGACTGGGAACCAGTCAGTCTGGTTCCTTTCTGACCACCATCTCCCTCAGACCTCTCTGTCCTCTGCGAGCGAGTCCCTCAGGCCTGCTTCATCCCAGTAGCCCGCGGGCTCCAGAAGCAAGGTGCCTCACTCATCTTCAGCAGCCTCAGACAAAGAGCCCACAGTGATCCTGGGGAGCCTCCCCAGCCACCCACGGCCTGGGCACGCTGGCTGGGCCCTGGCACTGCCCAGGAGAACGCGGATAGAGTGGCTCACTGCCAGTAGCATTTTTCCATGCTCAGCTCTGGACTGCTGCAGGACCAGGGTGGCTGTCTGGAGATTGGCACAGTGAGCCTCTGTCTCCATTTCTCCTTCCAAACTAGGCACCTTGGCAGGCAAGAGCAGCCCTCCTCTTCAAGCCTTCCAGGGCTGTGCATGCTGCCCACTTGACTCTCTTTGGTGTCATGACTGCCGAAAGGGGTTGTTGGGGACTTTATGCCTCTCTGTACCCCTCCCCCATCTCTTAGCAATGTTGCTCCAGGCTTTATACTCCTAAATCCTCTCCACCCCACCCCCAATGCTAGAGACATTCCTGTGCTCAAAGTTTTGTGAGGTGGAAAGCTTCTAGGATTGGTACTTTCTGAGTTGGGGGGAGCATACTCAGGAGTTACTGCTGTTCTTTCATTTCTCCATTCTAGAGACCCATATCTTCTTCCAATCAGAGCCCAGGAGGTCAAACCAAAAGCTGCTTTGTAACCTGAATTAGGTCCCCATTTCACAGTTCCTTGGACCTGGTCAACTCTCAACACTGCTGTGTGTTTTTTCCCTTTCACCCCAGCAGCACACAAGCACACACACATACAAACACATGCACTACACAAAATTTCCTCTCCTCTCATGTAAAAGCATTTAGGTGCCTGAGCCCCTCTGAAGAGACTGCAGGGCACAGGTCTAGGATGGTGGACCTTCTGAGTAGTAGTGGGGCAGAGCTGGCTTCCCCACATACCTGACACTTCACTTTTTCACGCCTGAAAGCTGAAGGCTCCCCAACAGTCAGAAAGGATTGTCTTACAGTGGACAAAGGTGGTGTGTGGGAACCCCCTCCTCCTACCCCCTTTCGCTGCTCTAGCATCCTGGGACGCGGTCCAGATGGGGAAGGAGGAATTGCTCCTCTGCCCTGGGCCCTGTCCCCTCTCCCCAGCCTCTTTCCTTTGCTCCTTTAATGGAACTACCAGGGACAAAATCTGAAGGAAAATGACCGACTTACCTTGAAGTTGAATCTTTGAGAGAGTGACCACGTCCCTCTGTCTGGCCTCCTTGTTGGAGAGCGTGTGAGCAGGAGAGGAGTGAGTGTGTCTACTGAGAGTGTGCGCGCCTGTGCCAGGCCAGGGCCCGCCCCCAAATTCCTAATCAGACGTCGTGAAGAGAGAGGTTGAGGAGCCCAGATCCTGGCTTTTTCAGTGCTGCAGCAGAGGCGGAGCTCACACTCAACCGCTCAAAATTGCTATAAAAACCACCTTCTTTCCACTCACTTATCTTCCCTGAAGCACTGGCAGCTTGGGGTCTCTTTCTGCCGAATGAGTTAGTGGCGCTCTGGAGGTTATTTGTACAGTCTCTTACAAAGGCCTGGATTTCTCATTAAACCCATAGGGCAGATGCAGGGATAGGGAGGGCCAGGATTTGCCAAGAGGCATCTTAACTCTTTCAGCAACCCAGAGTCCCACTGGAGAGCGAGTGCTCACCTTTCTGGGCTCCAGCGCCCTCTGTGGGCAAGTGGTTAGGCTAGTGGACAAGGGAGAGGACACAGGATAGCTGGCTTTGGCTCCAGTTCCATCCCTGACCAGTGTAGACATGTCTGGGCTGTAGGATTTCTCTCTCCCCACTGGAATAAAAGGGAAGAAAGGGACTCTCATATTTGTTAGTCACTTACTGTGCACTAGGGCTTCCTTCATATCTCAATTGGTAAAGAATCCGCCTGCAATGCAGGAGACCCCGGTTTGATCCCTGGGTTAGGAAGATCCCCCGGAGAAGGGAAAGGCTACCCACTCCAGTATTCTGGCCTGGAGAATTCCATGGACTGTATAGTCCATGGGGTTGCAAAGAGTCAGATACGACTGAGTGACTTTCACTTTCACTTTACTGGGCACTAACATCATGCACAGCCACCTAATCTCATCATGACCCTCAGGTTAACAATACTACCTTGTTGAGTTGTAGTAAGGTCTCTCTGAGGTAGTTTGTGTGAGGTCCCTGGCCCAGCACACAGCTGATGCTCACTCAGTCTGTGGTAGAGATGATTGCTGTTATACCCATTTTACAGATGTCGAGACTCTGAGCAAGGGGAGGATGAGGTCATAGAAGCAGGCAGGAACTAGACCATGAAAGGACTTGTAGACCATGGAATGGATTTAACTTTTATTCTGAATGTATTTAAAAAACTTGTTTTAAGGAGAGAAAGTGAAAAGATCTGACCTACATTTTAAAAAGTCCATGGGAGAGACTGCTGTGTGGTAAAAAGGAGAAAAGTGTGGAAGCAGGAGCTCTAACTCTCCTCTGTTGAGAGATAATGGCAGATTGGGCCAGTGCAGTGAAAGAGGGAACAATGTATGTTTAGACAAGGAGTTGAAAACTCTTAAAGATGGACCAGAGAAGGGGTTAGGGAAAGTGAAGAATGAATCCTCGATTTTGAATTTGAGCAACTGGGTGGGTGGTAGCACCATTTCCTGACCTTAGAAAGATGGGGAGGGACAGAGCCTAAATTAGAGATGCCTGTTAGGCATTCCAGTGCAGATGCACGCAGGCAGTTAGATATAGGATAAACTGGAAGATCAGGTACTAGAAGAATCTGGATTACCCAGAATCTCAGTAGCTTAGATGAACCCATGCATCTGAAATGCTCTTTCTTAAACTAATTGCCTCCTGCTAACATCTAAGAAACACCCCTTTAAATTCTTTCTAAAACTGTGGTAAATTACACATACCATAAAATTTACTATCTTAATAATTTTCACAGTTCAGAAGGTTTAAGTATTGCTATACAACCAGTCTTCAGAACTTGTTCATCTTTCAAAACTTTAAATTTGTATTCACTAAACAAAAATGCCCCATTTCACCCTCCCCCAGCCCCTGGCAACCACCAGAGCAGAAAGAACTACTTTCTCTCCCTGTGAATTTGACTGCTCTACATGACTCATACAAATGGCATCATACAGTATTTATCTTTTCGAGACTGGCTTACTTACTTAGCATAATGTCCTCAAAGTTCATCCATGTTGTAGCGGGTGTCAGAATTTCCTTCCTTTTAAAGACTGAATAATACTCTATCGTATGTATATACTATATTTTGCTTATCCATTTATCTTTCAATGTACATTTGAGTTGCTTACATTAGCTGTTGCAAATAATGCTGTTATGAACATTGGTGTACAAATATCTCTTTGAGAGCCTACTTCTAATTACTTTTTGCTTATATGTTCATAAATGGAGTTGTTGGATCATATGGTAATCTGTTTGTATCTTTTTTAAGGAACTTCCATATTGTTTTTCAAAATGTAGTCATATCATTTTACATTTCCATCAAC